GGCTTTTAGCGATGAACGCTCCTGAATGGAAGGAAGCGTTGTTTGGGAGTGTAGGAGCTGTTCTATTTGGTGCAGTTCAGCCGGTTTATGCATTCGCAATGGGGTCGATGATATCGGTGTATTTCTTGGCTGATCACGATGAGATCAAGCACAAAACGATGATTTATGCATTGTGTTTTGCGGGATTGGGGGTTTTTTCGATGGTAATCAACATCATTCAGCATTACAATTTTGCAGCCATGGGTGAGTACTTAACAAAGAGGGTCCGAGAACGGATGTTGTCGAAGATACTCACCTTCGAAATTGGGTGGTTCGATCAGGATGAGAATGCGAGCGGAGCCATCTGTTCGAGGCTCGCGAAAGATGCCAACGTGGTATGGAATTTACGTTTAGTTGATGGTATTTCATTATTGTAAACGATCGAGTATTTCTCGAAAAGAAATGGTTCTTTTTGCATTTAGAGCGAACGATCATGTGAGCGATAATTTTGCAGGTGAGATCGTTGGTTGGCGATAGATCCGCGCTTCTAATTCAAACGTTCTCGGCAGTGATGATTGCTTGCACGATGGGGTTGGTGATTGCTTGGAGATTAGCGGTGGTTATGATCGCAGTTCAGCCGATTATAATCGTTTGCTTCTATTGCAAACGAGTTTTATTAAAGAACATGTCGCAAAAAGCCATGAAATCACAAGACGAAAGCAGCAAGCTCGCAGCCGAAGCGGTTTCAAATCTGCGTACTGTCACCGCCTTTTCATCTCAAGCACGAATCCTGAAAATGCTCCAAGAAACCCAAAAAGCGCCAATGCGGGAAAGCATTCGGCAAGCTTGGTATGCTGGAATCGGGCTCGGGTTCTCTCAAAGCCTTATGGCTTGTACTTGGGCTCTAGACTTTTGGTACGGTGGGAAATTGATTAGCGATGGTCATCTCGGGGCAAAAGCACTCTTCCAGACATTTATGATCTTGGTAAGCACCGGCAGGGTCATCGCAGATGCTGGAACCATGACAAATGATCTAGCCAAAGGGTCCGATGCGGTTCGGTCTGTGTTTGCAGTATTGGACCGTTACACCTTGATCGAACCCGAGGACCCCGATGGTAAAAAGCCGGAGATCATTACAGGCCATGTAGAGTTACGTGACGTTTACTTCGCTTACCCTTCTCGACCTGATGTCATGATCTTTAACCGTTTCTCAATCAATATCGAAGCCGGAAAATCAACTGCATTAGTTGGACAAAGTGGGTCCGGCAAGTCGACCATAATCGGGTTAATCGAACGTTTTTACGATCCGATGAAAGGTGTTGTTAAAGTCGATGGAAGAGATATAAAGTCGTACCATTTAAGAACTCTAAGGAAATACTTCGCACTAGTGAGCCAAGAACCGACATTATTCGCTGGTACTATA